TATAGAAGGTGCACAGTGTCATTCACGCAAACACTAAACACCATCATGGTAACACACATGAAACTGAAATTATGCAATAAACATTAATTTAACAACATTAGGTGTAACATACAACCCTAATATACAAAACTGATAAGAACAAACTAAGAAGAAACATTTATTTCAACAACAAAAAAACATCACATTTTAAATGTAATGCAGGGAATTCTGGGAATGTCAATTTACGGTTATTCACTGTAAATTATACAGTCTTTTTCACTTCCAAAAACGGTATACTATCATAAAATTACATGTAATGTCCAATACAGTTTTTCACCGCATATAGTAGGGGAATTTACCATTAACCATTTAACAGTATTTTACCGTTAAATTCATGGTCATTTTTTATAGTGTATAAATAGGCCTACTTAAAAATAATTTCTACGTTTGTTGTTGTTTTTAAGATAAATTCTAATGATTATATATGCCCAGGCTTATTATAGTTAATTAAAACTGAAACTAAAATTAAAACCATTAAACAAGTTACTTGAAATAAATGTTAACAAAAATTTAATTCAAAACAATATACTTTAGCTATTTGCCAAAGCAACATTTCTCATTTGATCTAAAACTAAAACTGAAATACAAATGAATGAAACTATGCATATATAAATGAAAACAGAAAACATAAAAATAAAACCTGATTCAAAATATTAATAAAAACAATAAAGTATCACAGTGATACTAAAATAAGATTCGTGCATGCACAGATGCTAAAACGTATTATTAAGAATATTGATATTTTTAATAATATACTAATATTATATATGAAAATGTTGGTTGTTCATGTTTAAACAGGCTAATTCTATTTGTAGTTCATTATCTGAAACTGTTCTTGACATGGTTTCTTGAGAGAGAGAGCGAGAGAGAGAGATTTACAGATGACAACCAGAAGACATAAAGGTTTTTTTTTTTTTTTTTACTATTAGTTTGCTTTTTCAGCTGTTAATTATTTGGTTCTCAATTATTAACTTTTCATTACTCTAGTTTCCCTGTGTAAAAAACAAACAAGCAGTTTTAGCATAAATCCTCTCAATTATTATTAATTTGTGCTGCAAGTTGGCGTCTGTCTTTTGTTTCTCTTTTCCCCATGTTACTGCACATAGTCATATAGCATAAACTTGTTCAAGGACAGCTTCACAGACAGAAACTTTGTTGTTCATTGGCTTCACCTGTGTATCCCATTGTAACCAATGAAAGAAATTACATTTTTCATGGAACACGACAGCCATTCATTTGCACATCAGGGTCAAGCTCTCAACTCAAAAAGCATTCATGGAAGGCATAAGAAAACAAAGTGGCTTTTGATTAGATCTAGACATGTACAGAAAACCAGAGTTATATTTCTGCCACCCTCTAGATCATTCAGACTCCGAGCACTTGTCCATTGAGCTCAGGATGTACAGTCCAGCGCCGAAGGGAGAGAAAACAAGGGCAAACACCTTAGAAATACGTCAATAGCCTGTGGCTGCTTCGACCAGGCTTTCGTTAAAACTGCAGTAAGTTCCAGCAGTAACACAGATGGACGGGCAGCAAAGCAGGCAAGATAACATTGCTGAAACAGCCGATATTCAAAGGGACTTTTGCATAAAACAACATACAGTAACAATTTCAAGACGACCAACAAGCTAGCAAAAAAACGTTTCCTGACAGAACCAAAACAAATGACAACCAAAAATGACAATTTGCTTAAAATGTTTTCACCCTCAGGCCATCTGAAATGTAGATGAGTTTGTTTCTTCATCAGAACAGATTTGGAGAAATGTTTACATCACTTGCTCAGCAATGGGTCCTCTGCAGTGAATGGGTGCCGTCAGAATGAGAGTCCAAACAGCTGATAAAAACATTACAATAATCGACATGACTCCAGTCCTTCAATTAATGTCTTGTGAAGTGAAAAGATGTTTTTAACTTTAAACCATTGTTTCCAGCTAAAATATGAGTCCTCGATTCATAATATTGCTTTCTCCAGTTAAAACGTCATCTTGTCTGAATCGGAAGACATTTCCATTTTTGGGTGAAATATTCCTTTAAAGGGGTCCTATTATGCTCTTTTACAAAGTCTTGATTTTGTTTTGGGGTGTACAAACCCAATTCCAAAAAAGTTGGGACACTGTACAAATTGTGAGTAAAAAAGGAATGGAATAATTTACAAATCTCATAAACTTATATTTTATTCACAATAGAATATAGATAACATATCAAATGTTGAAAGTGAGACATCTTCTTCTTCGTCGTCTCGTCTCATGCGCTCACTCAACCAAGCGTTCTAAACACAACCTCGCCCCTCCTCACCCCCCAACCATTCGACTTTCTGTAGGCGGGAATTATTTGTAATTATATTCTGATGAGCCGCTTTGTGATATCACAAAGCCCGGAAACCAAACGCTGTAGTCCAAACGAGCCGTTCGTTGTAGTTCTTGAAAATGGATTTAAAAAAAACTAAATATCTCCCTTTGGAGTGGACTTTGAGATTTGTAACTTTCTAGATCTTTTTTATGCCCAAACATACACACTACACACTGACTAAAATTTAAAAAGTGAAAAAGCATTATAGGACCCCTTTAATATTGTCGAATTCCTCTTCTTTTAAAAAAAAAAGTTAAACTGTAGGTGTTAGAGACAATTTTCAGTCAAATTGTTAGTTAATTTCACAAATGGTTATGAAACGGCAAATAACAGTGAATTAAACTTTAAAATTGAAAATTCTAATTCTAAAATAGAAAGAAATTGTATTTTCTTGTAAAACACATTCCAGTAGTATATTTCTTTTTCGTTTTGTGTCTCAGATTTTTATTTAAATTTGTCATTTTATGGTCATTAAAACCTTAAAGTCTTGAGAGACTTTTCTTGGCTTCATCTTTTCAAACATTTTCAAATGCCCTTAAACACTTGTTTTTCAACATGGTGAATGTGATTTGACCAAGTGCAACATGTTCCTGCTGGAACAACATTCCAAGCAACAAATTTTAGTTTTATCCTTGCAACCAGAGTTAGGTGCTTCTACCCCTTGTTATTCAACTATCATTTCCTTCTGATTTTAGGGATAAATTATAGGTAATGTTAGGTTTAGGGATAGGGTTAGTTCTAGGTTTTGGACAATAATGTTGATCCAGGATCAACAAAAGATGTTGATCAACGAACATGTCTTGCTTGGAAAATCACGGTGACCGTCCCAGACGAAAGATTGGCATCGTGAAACAATTGTGGCGATTTCTGTGATCGTGGCTTCTAAACAGTGGTCCTATGTCGTACAGTGAGAGAGGTTCAAAGAGGGCTGTTGTCACGGACCTACGATCAAAGATAGCCTGTGATATTTTTCTGACAGTGTCAGAAATACAGCATGATCATTGCACAGTGTGTTTGACGCTACAACCTACGTCTACTGACCAGCCAATTAAAATGCAACATGAAATGGCGTGTTGATCAACGCAACATGGCGCTAAAACTTTTAACTTCCTCTTTCACAGCTTCTTCTTTTTTCAGCAAACATAAAAAGTATAACTGCTAAAGTGTGATTTATTGTGCTCTTTTTGTTTACCACTAGCACATGCTAATGACGTTATATTCTTCAATAGTAACTTGTGTTATAGTGTATGAGCCAATAGGTGTCATCATAGTACAGTCTGCATGCATGTCGTACCCAAGTTCATTAGGTCCATGTCGCGCAGTGTGATTTGTAATGAATTTATAGGATTGCTAAAATCGTGCAGTGTGTAGAAGGCTTAAGAGATTTTTCGTCTTCGAAATAATGTGTACCACTATATATTTTATAACAAGATCAGAAATGTTTTTAAAAAAGTGAATATCTTAATTTAATGTTGTCTTTAAAATAATATTTTATTTAATTATTTAATATTAACAGAGAGCCAACGTTTTAATTGAACACACTACATGTATTTTATTGGCCCATTTTATGCACGTGAATCTTTTTTTAAAGGGATACGCCTCAAAGACTTTCTATTTGTTTGATTATTGCTAAATTGCAAAATTGCAGCAGCTAAACTATTACTTACCTTCTCAAGGTCGGCGTTTCAAGTCCAGCACATGAAAGTACAAACATTTGGTTGAAACCGGCATTGCTTTCTTTGCTCTTAATCGTCACTTCCCTTTGAAAATCGAAATATCAATAGCTGCATTCAAATGCCTCTTTTTGCATATTGACCTCTGACACCTTGGTGGCAAACTGTAAAATGACATCCATTTTCTTTTTCCGTCGAGATACAAGGACACACGTTAATCTGTTGACATGCAGACAGGCAGCAAGCAACCCCTAAACTTGTTCCTGAATTAGAGGTGTGACTGCCGCTATCATTTATAAAGAGATGTGTAAAAGTAAAATGCATTTCTTAAAGTAGAGGCATTTTAACAGCATCAATTATTCATTTGGCTGCTTTAAATTATTAATCTATTCATAAGAAGACTCAATTATACTCTGAAAACAGAAGCTGAGCCTGTACACGATTTTCTTTTTTTAAGAGATGACCTACATTAAGAAGTGTTCATGTTCTTATTTTATCTTTGTAGCATAACGCTATTCACCGCATTCATAATGCATCTCTCATGATGAAAATAAAGACATGCCTTATGAGGCGGAAGGAAGAAAATGCATTTCTTGTAGGCCATGTACAGTGGGGAAAAAAAGTATTTAGTCAGCCACCAATTGTGCAAGTTCTCCCACTTAAAAAGATGAGAGAGGCCTGTAATTTTCATCATAGGTATACCTCAACTATGAGAGACAAAATGAGAAAAAAAATCCAGAAAATCACATTGTAGGATTTTTAAAGAATTAATTGGTAAATTCCTCGGGAAAATATACGGTGTAGGCATTTTGAAAGAAATCACGTGAATGCGTTTTCCTTTAATATGCTATTCTTTTGCTGTTCAGGACTATCATCATTAATTTAACATGTTTTTCTGTGCTTCCATATGTAAGAGTCATCGATGATTTATACTCCACAGTTGAACATTGTATGGTTATGTATTGTGTGGTTGGCCTCATTCAACACTAGAAATTAAAATGTTCACTGGGCATTTATATTTGCAGTTTCATTATAAAAATATATGTATGGTATTTTTAATGCATAAAGTAAAACCTGCTTCAGACAATTTGGACTGAATAATGAATATTCAAGTTTTCTGAACCCAGTCGATTTAACAGCAGCAAAAAGGGTGGCTTGCTAAATCTGCTTATGTTTTTGGATTAGGCCCTATATGATTTCTCAAACATTAAATTTGATTCTAATATACATGTCAAGTGCCTTACTGAGGGCACAGTGTAAAAAACTGTCTGCTAATAAAACAGTTTGGATTGGACAGAAAGTCTTTGAGGGAGAGAGTGAAGGCCAGAATCAGAGTTGATGCTCATCAGGGATGGGAGACCTTCCTCAGCTCAGCGGTAGAGAGTGAGATTTCAAGTAGACTGTAAACAAAAAAAATAGATTGTTAAATAGGCTATGTGTAAAATGAAAAAAGGAAAATGTGAGGTGATCTAAAAGTGGCTTAGACTAATGTGTCTTTTTACAATACTTACATGTCATGAAGTGTTCTGCTTTGCATGTTGTTGTAACGATTCAGTCCACTGAAGGCGAGCGTAGTGAGAACCCAAGTGCAGTTTTATTTACAGTGATCCAAACAAGATACACAGATCTGACGAGGCACAAACAGACTAGACTCACCGACAGCAGGTTACAACTTCAATACACGACCCGAGACAATGGCAACATGATGGCTACTTATAGCAAACAAGAGGGTCACAAGACAAGAACAAACCAATGGGAAACAAGACACATGACTAGGACAACCAATCAGAACATGACACATACACAAGGCAGAGATACATGAGGGCAAGGGAAGCATGACACTAACAGGGTGAAACAACACAAAATAAAAGACATGGAAAACATGAACATGAAACCCAAACACCAAACCCCACATTACAATTGTATGTTTTTCATGTTGAATGTTGGTTCAGGTGATGAGTGTTAAACATTAATAAAATGTTTTTTTTAAATACTTCCCTGTCACTGAATAAATATATTCATGTTTCTAAAATGTACATTAACTAATTAATACATTTTCAAATGAGAGATACATTTTGCATTTGAACAAATTGTTTTTCTTATAAACCATATCAATATCTATGAAAAACACCTAAACTTGATGAGCTTAATGGGTACACTTACCCTACATTTGTTAACTACGTTAGTTAACCTGAACTAACAATGAAAAGTAATCAATTAAGCAATTATTAACTAGGGCTGTCACGATAAATCAATACAACGCAATTCATGGATCGATTCTGAATGCATCGCGATTATCGCTGTAATCGATTCTGAGCTTAGTTTTTAACAACAGATGGCACTCTAATCTAGACTTTAACCACACACTCAAATGCTCACGAAGAAGAGCGCTTGTGTGAGTCATGTAATTACACCTCAGCTCAAAATGCTTTTATGATACGATATTAATGTTAACACAGCTCACTTTGAATACCCTTGTAATTCGCTTCAAACTTCTCGAACTTTATGAATGATTATTTTAGGTTTAAGTGTGTAAGGAACAGGAAGCAAGCAGAGTAAGACTGTTTCTAAAGCAAAATCTCAGAATCGATGCAGAATAATTTCTCGATTTGCGATGCATCGATTTATTTCCCCGGCCCTATTATTAATCTTAATGTTAATTTCAATGCGTATTAATATATAATACAAATCAAACATTTTGTCTGTTGATATTTAATTGACTATAAGTTTCATTAATTTGAGTTTCTCAAATCTCAAACAAACTGTCAATAGGACCAATTATTACAAGCACAATGTCCAGCATGCTTGCTACACAATATCTACAATCACATGTTCCTTCACAACTAATTGTTTGGTGTTAACTGGGGCATTCTCCATTGAGCCTGCATGTCTGAAGACGAGACAATTTTTCTTCGTTTTTTTCAGTTGGAGCTCACCGTACTGATAATGCCAAACCTATTATGCAAATGGGAAACGTTGGTCTTTTGAAGAATAGAGCATTTTTCAAAATTCATTTGGCTTGCCTGATTAAGGAATTAGAGCTGTGGTTTTGGAGGGAAGGGTTTTCGCCCCAGTGAGTGCCACAGTCTGTTAACTGTGAACAATGTAGCATTTTTAAGAGTAATTTCACAGATTTGCTCTCTGAAGCATTAAGAGCGGTAACTAGGTCTGAACCTCTTACACTGTCTGGACTGAAATGACAGAAATTTGCAAAGTGAAAAAATAAGCGTAATACGATTAATCAGGCAATCGTTACCTTGATAACCACCTTTCTTTGATGTTTCAGCCAGGCTCAGCGTCTATACCTGTATAACTTCAATAATTGGATATTTAACATTGCCAAATAACACTCTTCCAAACTTGATAAGATTTTCTGAAGGTAATACCAGTGCAGAAAAGAGTAGTCTCGAGGTTTTCTGCAAGTTTTAGGGATTTTTTTTGACATTGCTTGTTTTTTTTTTGGCAAAAATAATAATCTTTCTGACAGTCGAAATGTTTATTTATTTACTTTTTATTTTTTCAATCAATTACCTTTTAAAGTAGAAAGTGTATTGAACTATCTCAAAAGGTCTTGCAATGTCAGCTTATTTTCAGATCAAAATGTCATATTCATAATCTTGCATGTTTTTGGAACCTCATAATATTAATTTCAGTGTTAATTATTAAGGTTGTTTTTTTATAGTATACAATTCTTTCAATGTAAATTCTGGATCTAGAAGCAGAACTGGTAAGAACCACTGTCTTGTGCTGTCAAGCAGTAAAATGTTTAAATATTTAAAATTTCTAATTGGAACAACATTTATTTTTATAAGTGAAAAGCAAGGTTGAATCTAAAAACATTCAGCGTCTTGTCAGTGTTTGATGTGCTGTGACAAAAATAACTGTAAAATAAGACATGACATGAGTGCATCTACAGAATGTGAATCAGGATAAATGATCTTCCACTTGAGACTTTATAACAAATATTCTGATTTATGTAGAGATGTCCATCATTCCCTAGAGAGTTTGATATGTATTTTATGTAGTGTTTGATCAAATGGATTTCATGTCTTTGAGCGTGTGACTTTCATCTCTGCTGGAGGCCTGATCATCAGAAATTTACGCTGTGAGACTCTCTCGTTCTTTGGTATCACGCTATCGTGTTTGTTTCTGTATGTATAAAGTTTTGCATTGGCGCTCGGTCTTGTAGTAATTGAATCTTTGTGCAGAGACAGAAAGAAATAGAGAGATGAATTTTGAGACTGGTGGCTTATTCCCAGAAGGCAGTTGTGCCCCGTGTCGCAGCCACAGTGTCGCCAAACCTCTCTCTGACATTTGAGACCTTAGTGCAATCGCTTACAGGTCTACATCTACACATACATGCCTACAGTAAATGAAGTAGAACAGTTATTAGATACTAGATTTTTTGAAGAAAACTTGAGGTGCTTGCCTTTGCAAAACTCACTGCCACAGTTCAGGCGTGTTGTGGGTCTTCGCTTAATGGTCCATTCATGACATTCTGGTCTCTGGATATGGCTCTGCTCCCTCGTTCAATGAAAGTATGTTGTATTTTTCAACATGTTTCATCTTCTGACTGCTTATAAAAGTAGTGCATTAGTCATTCAGCAAAATTTTTAAATGACTGGTTAAGAGGTTAATTCAAATCCCCAATCCCAAGTATTAATTGTAGTAGAACCTTAGGATACACTTAACAAACTCTAAGCAAGTACGACCACTTGATCAAAGCTTTGCTAAAGTGTGGTCATGTGCATATTGACATTAGTCTGGCGGTGACATTTTATAATTAGGGCCCTATGATTTCCGCAATGTGGAAAACCCAGATAGAAGCGTGGAATCCAGTCATATAAACGGAATTTACTATGATGGAATTTACCAAATTTTGGGTCGATACATCAAAATTAGGTCAGTACACTTATATGGACTAGTGTCTGTGAATATTAAGCCACAAAAATGAGTGAGATTCAAGCAAACCTGCCACACTTCCATTGCAACCGAACTCAGACCACCTCCTTCAGGTAGTCTCGGACTCTGTACCCCGGTGTGCTCCGCATGACAGCTTTCACATTATCATCTTTTCATGCAAACTGCACCCTGTTTCAAACTAAACTGCCAGTGTGAAAGCCCCCTTAACTAAGCAAGATTGTCTTCAAACTGTTGCTCCATAGTGACAGTTGACATGAAAGAGATGGTCTTTGGTGGTATGCTAATGTCTACTATTCCTTGCAGTCTGACATTTTGGAACATAACAATGTAGCTTATATGTACTTGTGTAGAAACCTTTGGAACCTTATTTTATTCATGCGTTGTGTGTCAATGCAACGAGGCTTGGGTAAAAGCGGCAAAAGCTGTGATTCAAAGTATAGAGACACCTAGGGTCTAAAAGAACAATGGTGAAGTGGAAAACAAAACTATATTTTCCACTTCACCGTAGTTCTTTTAGACCCTGTAGTCTTGAGGAATCTTCAGGTGAGTGGTTGTAAAGCATTGGAATGATTGCTCTTAATCTCTATCGTTGCAGAGCTTGGAGTTTTAGAATTTAGTCTTTTGATTTCCATTGTAATTAAAATGATGTTTGGCTTCCTAAAGTCTAAGTGTTTGTGAGGGTCAAGCGTCAAGCATAGAGGTCAAGTGAATGCAGTATCTTCTGGGCATTTCATTCCATTTATAGAGGGAAAATAATCAAGATTGAGGGCTGGACCAAAGTTGTGTTAGAATCCATAAACCTTAAGCTACAAGACCAAGAGATAGTTAGAGAGTAGTACACTTTCAAAACATCCCTGTTTGTCTAACCCACTTTCTTCTAGTATTATTCTTGTTTCAATTCCCATTTGAGGATTTTTTTCACATTCCCATGTATTTCATCATTTAGAGACAATAGCCCAACACTCCTACAGATTGGATGAGTTAGTCTATTGAAAAAGTAAAACAAAAATCAAATAAATGCAGAGCCAAGCAACTGCCATTGAGATGAATGGAATTTCTAACAGATAACTCCAGGTATTATAGACCTCCTTGGTCTTAAATTCACCCCGTCACACTACATTCCCCAATCATAACTTACACAATGCCTTCCCAACCTCTAGGGAATCATTCCACCTTTGGTCCTTTTCATCTGGGAACTGGGGAAATAAGTTTCAGATCAATAACTGGAATGAGAACGGATGTACACTAGCGGTGGGATGGGTTTAGGTCTTTATTAGAGAGTCATTTACCAATGTTGCGTCACTGGGCGTGCGTATGGAGGGCGTAGGGACCCGGAGGGGTGACACTGAGCCAACAGACTGAATTTGTTGAGTCAGTGGAGCAGAGAAATGATGTCTGATAAATGAAATTGAAACAGTCTCCCTGCTCAGTGTTCCTTATTCTCTCCATCTCTCCAATGAGCTCAGGTTTTCTTTTGACTTTTCGCTCCAAATACCGTGTTGCTAGTTGGATGCTGCAGAATTACGAAGGGACTTGTACAGAGGCCTGTAGTTGCAGTGAAAAACTGACAAGCGTGGAAGCCATGGTAGAAAGTAAGATGTCTCAATGTCATTACGCCTGCAACTGGACTCTCAGCGGTATCGCTACACAGAGTTTTTGGGCATGTTGCACAGTTACCTGATTTGCATCTTTTGCATCAGTGAATTCCAATTTCAAAGCCATACACCATCACTTTCTTGATTTACTTATTAAAT